CCTCTGTTTCCCAGTGCAACTGGAAAACATGCAATTTCCACGCTCTTTGATGTCACTCACCGAGCGGAAGGTGTTGTTATGTGGCTGCTTTGCAGCCCGGTCTCCGTGTCGTCCCTCCAGATGCTGTGGCAGAAGCCACGGTGGGCGAGGGCATACTGCTGCGTGTACGCAAAACACCGTGGTGGGCTCTGGCAGGAGTGAGGATTCCTGGTAAGGGAGAAGGCTTCTGTGCGCATGTGCCGAGTGTGATGGAAAGCAGAAGGTTTCGTGCCTCAGCATTGGAATGGTAGGCACTGAGTAAGCAGGGCCAGCGCTTCTGTGGATGTGCCTCCCTACAGAGTTCCTCTGGGGGGGGAAAAACTGCTGCTTCATGCAGGGAAAAGTTATGTAGACAAGCTGTGTTTCAGTGCCTGGTTTTGTGCAAAACATAGAAATCCTTTCCTGCCTCGTCTCTTTTCATTCTTTTTCCTGTCACTCACTGCACATGTCATTGGTGTCTGTGGAAAAGACAGCACAGTCAGGGCGCAAATCTGCTGCAGCCTCGACTGTGTGCGAAGCAACATTAGCTTAAAGATTTTCACGTGAGAACTGCTAGTGATTGACAGGACATATAGTGCAGTCACTAAAACCAGAAACATGTGTCTGCTCTGGAACTCCTCGCTGGCATCTGGGATTAAAGAGAATGTAACGAACTACAGAGCATTACTGGTGCAAATGTGAGCGTGACCGTAGGTTTGTTCGGGAAGTCTTGTTTTTGTAGCACAGTTTGCCTCACTTCAGCAGAATTTGCGCGTTCACCTGGTGCGACGCAGGTACCCTGGGTGTTCTTACCTGCCTTCCTCTGAGCTAGCATGCAGAGGACAAGGTGCGGCCCAGAGGACTCCAAACAGTCAAATGTAATGCAGATTTTCTACTGGATTGAAGCATGCTGCCATCAATGCTCCCCATGAAACAGCTGGCTTTGTTACCCCCCCCCCCACTGCAAGCTTCTGTCATGTTAGCTTGCATCAGATGCCAGCCATTTACAGTATGCACCATCGCAGCAGGACTTCAGTTGGCAACCCAAAGTCGATCACATGCCAGTAGCCTACTGTAAGGGTGGGGGAGTGTGTGGGAAGAAGGGGGAGAAGATCCTCTCATAAAATGTTTTAATGATTTATTTTTAATATCCGCTTTTTGAGCCTTGGGAAGTGCAATGCATATGCTTTTCCCTCCTGGCTCTAGTTGGCAAAGAGGCTGAGGAATATGGTCCTTCGCAGGCTCCTTCCATTTCATGAGGAGCCAGAAGATATGGCTATATTTAGCGCGTTTCCAAGGCCAGCAGTAGTGTCTGTTGCTGGGTGGTGATTCCCTGGCTGCATGCACGTGTGCCACTCTGGGACAGGGTGGGAGCGTGCGTTCCCTAGAATTGATGCCTGTGCTGAATTAGCAGCATCAGGGACAAACTCCTTCAATTACAAGGGCTGCGCAGGCCACGACACGTTCAGCATGCGGCTTGCTGACTTGGGACGGGCTCTGAGCCCTGTGACCCTTGGCTTGGAGGCTTTACAGCTCCTGTGCAGTGTGCTGAGACCATCTTGTGCTGAGCATTTGATGTGCTAGAGGCACAGCTAGTCGCTGCATCAAAACCGCTAGCATGCTTTAGTGATACAGACACTCATCTGAAGATTAGGAGCCTGAGTCCTGTTGTATTTTAATCCTACTGTACTCCTGGGCCACCCCACCTCATTTATAAAGTGGAGTTGTCCTTATCTGTCCCCAACCCAATATCCCCACAGCAGATTTGCTACCAGTTCCCTGTTGTCTTCCCTGCTGTTTCGCAGCTGGTACAGAGAAGTGAATAATGGTTGTTCCTTTGTCCTTCTGGCTGCTTTCTCAGAGCTGAAATCACTCTGAAGAGCATATGTTTTGCAGAGAAGCATCGAGAACTGTGGACTTCATGGTAGAAGTTTAGAAGAAGGAGTTGCACTTGCAAATGTGAGACTCCAGGGAATGCTAGAGGTGCCCGTTGCTTCAGAGTGAGACGCTTTGAAAGTTGTTTCATAGCCACATGTCTAAACTGGCGTCTCTAAGAATGAGAATGTGTGGTGTCATTTTCAGTCAGATCATCAGCTCCTGAAATTTGTTGTCGGAGAGATGAAGAACTTGCTGTGGTGTTGCAGAGTGAAACACTTCAACTGTGGTTTCCAGCCTGTAATGGTGAAGCACAGCAGTTGATGATGCTCAGGATGAAAATGATGGCTAGGAGGAACTAGATGGAGGATTTTGAATTTAGGTGCAATGATGATTCACTGATGATTCATTTAGTCTTACTGGAGCCCTAAAAGGCCAGAATGACAGAGGTGCCTGTACTTGAAAGCCTTAGCTCTGCAGTAGCATCTCCACAGGTCTTAGTTCCTTGCAAATACATATCCTCACTGAAACCAGCAGCATTCTGTGTGGGCACTGGTTTCAGCTCACAGCTCTGTCTGCAGGATCAAGGCCTCGTGCTTGTATGTTGTTTTGTTGGTAATAAAAACATTCTGTTTTTAGAACCCCCTGTTGGAATTAAATAAACTCTGTTTTGAGAAAAAAGCAGAACAGAGCTTCAAAGCAAGCTGAGGTGGCTGGTATCAATGACGTGCAAAATTTCAGTTGGAGTAGCAAAGTCCTTTTCAAGTTGAGGTAGACCCTGTAAGTATTATTTACAAAAATGGTAGCACTTTTTTCATCTTCTCCATTCCTGCAGTGTAAAAACATCTACACAAATTTATTCCAAATTTGGTAGAAATTAGTGTTTTCCCAACTCAAGATGCTTGTGCCAAGTTTCAGCCGGGAGGAATTTCTGAGGCTGATGTCTAAGCCTTTCAAAGCTGTAGCTTAGAATAGAGCAGCCACCCAGCCGCTAACAACGTGCTGCTCTGCCACGCTTGGTCCAGAGCGACGGGAGCAACCCTGCAGACGTCAGGGAGGTGGGACGCAGAGGCTCTCGTGCTGCAGGTGTGCTCTGAGCCTGAATGTCAGCAGAGTAGCGGTACCATTTTACTGTCACTGTACACTGATAAAAGCAAATGTCTGGCAAGGAAGATTCATGTCCTCGGGGCTTGCAAGCAATTAACTTACTGCTAGGGATCTGGGGCTATTGGGTTGCTGAGAAGCCCAAACGATAGCATGAAAAAGCCGCCTCTGTTTGAGCTGGTTTGTAGGGAGCTGCTCAGCCCCCACTCTAGGAGCAAGGCAGAATTTGCTCCTCTAAAGTAGACTTCTGAAGTTGGGAGGGGGATTCCTGTCCCAGCAGGTTTAACCCACCTGTTCTTGCATTTAATTATCTGTCTAAGTAACAGTGGGGAGCCAGGAGTTTTGTTGAACTGCCTGATCTTCTCGGAGCAGGTCAGAGCAGCGTGTTCCTCACGGTGCTCCGCTGCTCGTCTCCTCTGATGCTGTGGTGCCAGCTCTGGGCCCTCTGCTCGGTGACCCCATGATCCCTGCCAGGAAAGGGGCAGAGAAAAGTGCAAACCCAGGGCTGCTCTGGGGGTGTGCTGAGGAGCTGGGCTTGGGTTCAAAAATGACCTGCTTGCTGCTCAGAGGGCCACAGTGTTGGCTTTGTGGGGTGGTGCTCAAGACCATCTGCTGGTACCAGCTGTGGTCTTGTTACCTGGCAGAGATGAGTCTTAACAATCCCGGCACGGGGACTGGGACAATTTCACTGAAGGAGCATCCCTCAGGGGTGTCCGCAAGGCTATGCCCCATGTTGCACTGTTTGTTCTCGTTTGTCTTTTTAAGCAAACTTGATTACAGTGAGGCTGAGAACTCAGTTTTCAGCCTCTGAAGAGAGGACTTGGGACCCAGATTGCTTAACTGGCAACTGTGTTCCCTTGCTGTCTCCAGTAACAATTATTAGTTATTTGTCATGTAACAACTAGTGGCCCTAGTTCTGAATAGGAGCCCTGTTTTATTGGGTTCTGAATAGCTACAAAAGAGTTCCTTCCTCAAAAGAATTCACTATTTTTGCACTAAAGCTGCCTAAAGTGTTTCCTGTATTCTTTATGCCTCTCCTTCTTGAAAAGTGAATATACAGAGAGAGAGAGGTGCCTGAGAAATTCTTTTTTTTTTTTTTTTTTTAAATAATTACTTCATCTTAGCAGTCACAAAATTTGCTACCAATTTTGTTTGCAGCAGACTGTTGGTAATTATCCTCCTGTGGCTGGCTGCAAACACCGTTAAAACAAGGAACGGTTTATAGATGGTTTTTGGAAGTGGTTGTCTCCATTGATTTGAGGTTATCTATAAGATCGGGGATCCTCTGCTGATTGGGAGCCATTGGCTTCCCCAGTACTCTGTTTGTTTGTTTGTGTTTTAAAAAAAAGAGGTAGCCAACAGTGATACAGTGCATTGTGGCTTTTAACGAGTGAAAGCATGAAAGGGAAATCATTATTTTAATCATTCTTCTGGGCACTAGTGCTTGTCAGCATCTTGGACTATGTGCATCACAGATACTTCTTCAGAAGATCACAGGCACTTCTTCAGAGATATCTTCTTGCCCTGCACCCAGAGCAGCTGGGGGAAGTGGTGGAGACAGTTTTGCTTCTTGCTGTCTGGTTGTCAGGGCCAATTAAGTGGTCTGGTGCTGGGAGGGAGGTGGAAAAACCCACACAAGAAAATTGGGGATTTGGTTGTTGTTGCAGGCGCTGCTGTCACTAGCTTGTTAGAATACTGGTATTTGTCTTAGGTTTTTATTTTATTTTAACAGCAATCCTGTTATGTTCAGAAAGCCTAGCTTTGGGTTTAGTTTGATAGCGTTCAGTTAGTGTTATAGCAGGAGAGGTCTTGGGTTTTTTTCTTCATCTAGGTATTGCACTGCTGTGAAAAAATTACAAAAGAGGCGCGCTAGCTACGAAAATGCTTCTGTCTTGATGATTGTGGTGTTACAGTAACCCAAACAATCCTTAATTACCTTACTCTGGCTGCTCTGAGTGATATGTTTGCTGAAATGCTGTTTTTTTTCCATAATGTTTTTTAAGGGCCGGTGTACCCGAGAGAACTGCAAATATCTTCATCCTCCTCCACACTTAAAAACACAGCTTGAAATAAATGGACGCAACAACCTGATCCAGCAAAAGACAGCCGCAGCCATGTTTGCTCAGCAAATGCAGTTCATGCTACCGGGCGCGCAACTACAACCAATTGTAAGTTACAACCATGAATTGCGTTCACGTTGGTCCAGATTTGTTTCCTGTTTACTTACAGAGGCCCTAGTCCTGTGCTTGCGCTCAGACAGGCAGTTCTTGCTGCTGCACTGGCTTGGAGGATATCTGCGTGGATGCTAAAGCCCTCCTGAGAGAATCTGAGTGCTGCAGCGAGTCTGGCCTTCGGGTCGGTCTCTTGCCTAGGCTGTGGTGTTATACTCTGTAAGCGGAGGGCTGTGCTTTCTCTGTATCTTCGTGCAAACTGTGGCTCTCCTTTTCTCTGTGATAATTATTCAGTGGCAAAATTCAAGGCAGCAAAGCTCACTGCTGAGTACTCCAAAAACCCGAGGTCCCTGAAGCTGAGGCTCAGGCTATACCTGATCCATTTAGGAGCATATGATTTTCCAGTGTAAAGGTTATCAGAAAGTAGAATGACCTTAGCACCAGATGGATTTTGACCAGCTAATTTATTTAAATCCCAAAAGTCCAGAACGGCTTGATTCTCTTGATGAGAATGGCTTGTCTCTCTCTTGGTTAGTGTACCTGGGAAGGGGTGACATTTGTCTGCTGAGTTTGTCTGTCGTCATGTATGTGTTAAGGAAACATCGGAGGTTTCGAGGAAGCTCTTCAGTGCTGACATATAAACAAACTGCTTCTTTTTAACTGTAAGCCTAATTAGGAAATCTACATCAAATTTTTTTAAGTCAGGGTTGAATATCTTTCCTGAGGCGCTGTGGACTTGATATGCAGTTGTTGGGTGAGGTTCCTTGGGCTGTGCCACACAGCAGGTCTGACTAGATGACTAGGACACACTCTTCTAGCCTGAAAACGTGTGAGTCTGAACCAGCCTGCACTGGGCCTCCTGGTTTCCCCATACGGTGCTTGGCTTCTCTGCCCAGTTGGGGATTCTGACTCGGTGTCTGCCATCCAAGCTCCGACAAGCTCAGGTGTCTCTGATTCATCCCCACAAGAGATTGATGGAGTTTTCCTCCTTGTTGGAGGCTGTTGTGCTGTTTGGTGTAAGAGTGTGTGGTGATGTTGCATTTCAGCAGGGGAGGCTGGTTACTCTCCCTCTTTGGTGATACTCTAGCACTTTGCTGTTGAAGAACACACCAGACGGCCTCTGGTCATCTTGCGCGTGCTAACGGATTTATCTTCTCCCTGCCATGTGAGCTAGGGAAATGCTGTTTATTCTTCCCATTCTAAAGATGGGGAAAGTGAGGCTGGAAGGGAAAACTGGTCACAGAAAGCCTGAACCTTAAACTTAGCTCTGTTGTAGTCCTTGCACCTCCTTTTGTGAAGTTCCCTTTTCACCAAAGTACATGCATAGGAAAAGGAAACCCTGAATCCCCACAGAATGGTGGTACTGGTTCCCTAGCCCCGTATCGAAAGTTCCTTTCCTATTCAGGGTTTTTCCCTGGGGGGAATTCACAGTGGATGCTCTTCTGTTGGCTATTTAAAATATCTTTGGGATTTCCTCTCTGGAAAGTTCCCGTCTTCCCATTCTGCAATCTTGCAGGTCCGGTTCATTTCTACCACAGTTTCACTGCTGCCTTTTGAGCTGCCTCTAAGACTGAATCTGTTAATTTATCTGGTTAGTGCTTTCATTTCGGAGGTAACCTTATCTGATGATAAAGGTCTTCCGTTTCTAAATTGTGCCATGGGCGAGAGACGAGTTTAAAAAAAAAAAAAAAGAAAAGAAAAAAGAAAAGAAAAATCTGTTCTGCAATGACTGCTTACTTCTTCTTTTCCCATGCTTGCTCAGAGTAAATGCGCCCTTGTTCTAATTCCTACTGCCCGACTTGTTCCACACCAATTTCAGGACAAGCAAGAGATTGCTCTTTCACCTGCCTTTGATTTCCCAAAGATGCTGCCAGCAGAAGCAGGCTCCGAGAATTCTTTTTCTGTCTAAATGAGAAGGGTAGGGCTTCCTTCTGGCTACACATGAAATTCTTCAAAGCAGAAAGTATTATATCAGATGAAGTGGCAGAACTAATCCCATGTGATCAGAAAGCTGATCAACAGTTTGCCTGCTTAATTGGGATGCTTACCAGAGACGAGATTTGGGGCAGCGTGTTTAATAGCTCCAAACAATAGCTGAACGCCTAGGCATTTGAAAGTGCATTTTCACCAGGAAAGCAACTGTATAAAAACAGCCCTTGATGTAATGGCCTTTCACCATGCAGTGGAAATATTTGCCACCAGATCATCTTGCACCCACTGCTGGCATGCAGCAGAAGCTAATCTTCCTGTTGAACACACAGTCAGGGCCATAATGATGCTTGTTGAGTGAAGGTACTGCTCAGAGAAGAGCTGCGTTCCATGTCAACTGCCTGCTGCAGGCTGCTTACAGAAGCCTACCTGGTGGGAATTAATGGTTGCTGGTGTGAACTTCTTTCTCTGAAGTCTGATTGCTCTCTGATGCCGCTGTTAAGCATCTGTGCAAAGCTGAGAATCATGTGAATGCTTGATGCAGTGGTTTTTGTTTGTTTTGTGTTTTGTTTTAACAGAGTGCTTCATACAGCGCTCTAGAACAAGCAAGTCAAGGACATGGAGTAGAGTATTTACTCAGCATGGTGTCTCAGAGGGACCTTGGAGTGATCGCACAGGTGCCAAGTCGAAAGACTGCAGTATAAGTTTTAACCTTCAAAATTCCAAATCCACCTTAATTGCTGACTTCGGTCAAGCTAGGGTCTTCAACTGGAAGCTCTCTGGGCCTTTTTTGCCTCTCTGTCTCAGTTAAGGACTAGATACAAGTCTGGTTGGACAGAGCTGGGCTCTGGTATCCGTATGAGGAGTCATTTTAATCAGTGCTGTGTCTGGTTTCTCAGATACGGTCACTTCCAGGCGCATGCGTGTGCCAAAGCAAGACCATCCAAAGCAAGACCATCCAAAAAGTGATGTACTCGGGGCCTGATCCTTTGCCTTTTTCATTCTGCTTTATCTCTCTGCAGAAGTATGAGGTAGCCTTAGAGGTGGCCATGGAGGCGCTTCAGTGCTGCTAGGGGACTTCAGCCCAACTCCTGAGTTAACCCAGTGGTTGTGAAGCACTGCCCTGCTGGCCGGCTGTGAGCGTATGTTGGATAAAGCACTGCAGTGTTGACGCACCTGCCTCAGCTCCTGCCTTGCAGCTACCTCTGCTGCTGGCTTGGGAAGTTGTTTCCTCTCTGTGCTTTTGTTTTCAGGCCCTTCACTTTGTCTTTCTGTCAAGCCCTTTGTAGGTAGGACTGTCCCTCTCCCGGTGTCTCGACAGCACCACGCTGAGTCGCCTGTGCCTCTGAAGACAACTGAGGCTTTAACCCAGCCCTGCGTCCCCCTTCTGGTGCAGCAGGACCATGCTGCTATCCCATAGTGCTGATGGAAAAGTTAAAGCATGGGGTGACCAACTCATTTGGCCGGTGGCATGCTTGCAACATGTGATGGGGCAGATCTGAAGCAGTGTTTCAGGCACGTGCCTATCCTTCCATGCAGCAAAAATCTGACCTGCATGTGTGCCTCTCATCAGAGACACCGCAGGGATTCATAACCAGGAGTACCTTAGCCCACCTGGGAGCTGGTGGCTGAAGCCTGCCAAGCAGCCAGTGCTCTGGGAGTTTTACACCTGCTTCTCGTACAACAGTCAGCAACAAGTGAGAGATTGAGTTGGATGCTTCAGCCAGTTGGGTTCACTCTGGTGCGCTCAGCCTCCATGCTGAAGGATTGTCCTGGCATTGTCTTAGAGAGGGTCCCAAGCAGTGGAAATTGGATGGGAATTTTTTTTCCTCCTTCTCTTCTCTCTCTTTGGAACAGTATAAGTTGTTTTTAAAATCAGGATCTTCAGCTTTGTCAATAGAAGGTCTTTAACCTCTATGTTTCTATCAGCAGACTATAATAAATTCTGCCACTGTGTGTGTACTTTGCATGTGTAGCTTCTTAGCAGTGACCTATCTCCTTTCCTTGTCCAGCTCAACAGCACCTCTGCATTTATACCAGGCTTCTGTTTTCAGACTGTTCCCTTTTTTAGAGTCTGCGGTAACTTGGACTCAACGCTTTCTGCATGAGACGGTGCTTGTGCTGTGTTCAGCAAAACACCAGGCACTTCTCTGCGTTTTTCTTCGCACCTATTCTGTGTTTCTTCTGTAGCTTTAACATGATTTCTGTTAGGCAAATTGGATGCAACTTCCAGTTTGTTAACCAAATCAGCTGTCCTCATGGAGTTAGTCCAGAGTCCCAGGTTATGTCACCCTTGGTGACAGGTGCCTCTCTCTGGGCTTGTCCCTCTGTGCTCACACCCTCAAACAAACTGCTCCTGTGCTCAGAGTCCAAGAATACCTCAAAGTGGATCAGCCAGATAACTGCTGCTGCTGTGGACAGGGCTGGCCGAGCACTTGGCAGCCTTTCCCTGGTGACACGTTATTCTCACTGTTTTTTTTTCCTTACTGTCCTCTCTTTTACTTTTGGCACCGATGAATTCCTCCTTCCATGCATGCTCACAGTTGCATTTTTTGGTCAGAGAGATGTTTCCCTCTCAGAAGGGGGAACTTGTCTCCCTTGGCTTATCTCCCCTATTGGCTTCAGTTTATGTAGTTCTCGCATGCAGGAGTTTTTCCCTGTCCTACTTCCCAGGCAGGTGTGCAAACGTGGCAGAACGTTGCTGCCAGGAGCGGTGCTTCCTTTAAACCTTGTCTTATGCCCCGTCTCAGAGATGGGAAGGCAGCTTGTGCAGAATGAACGTTCAGTCTGGCAGTGAGGCAATTTAAGTCATCTTTGCTCTGTTTAGCTCAGGGAGAAGCAGCTCAAATTTGCACCTATGTGTGTCACTGGATAACGCCAAAGAAGTAGTGTTTGCATCCATCATCTTCCATCATTTCCCTCAGCCTCTCCTGCCCAACAGCCATTTTGGCTTCTCTTTTCTTACAAATGTTTTAATACTCAGTAAACCAGTGAGCTATGAGCTGTTACCAGTCTGAACTCCTCTACCCAGTCTGAATTATAACCAGTTTCTCTCTGCTCAGGAGCTCCTGCTAGTGTCTGCATATGTATTAAAGGTTAATAAAAGGTAGTTAGTCTGCAAGGAAACCTGTCTCTGCATTTTCTGAATTTGCAAAAGCTTTAAGGGATGCAGCAGAGGATAAATGTTTTATCCTAAAGCATACTGGGCCTTGCACACATAACAGGCTTCTAAGGCTCCTTGGGGAAAGGATCAGCTCCGTTACCAGAGGCTGACCTAGGACTCCCTGTCCTCAGCCTGCACGGGCACCTGCAGGCTGCGTGCCCTGGGGCTCTGCAGCTCTGAAGGTGATTGTACGTGCTCTCTCTCTATTAAATTAGCCCATTACCCAGGTCTGTGTCATGGCAACTAAGTTCACGAGTGGTTCAGGCCCTGTGCCGCTGGGGTGTTGAGGTATTGATCACGATACTGAAGTCTGGGAGCTTGAGGAGGCCTTGGGAATGTCACAGTGCCTCCCATGCCAGCTGCTTCCACCAGACGCCAGGCTCTTCTCTTAAACATGTGTTCATAGCAACCTGGTCCGGAAGCTCTTTAATGCTGCAGGTGATGGATTCAATTTAGAGTGGTGATTGGCTGGGGCTTCTGATAATCTTTAAGGCAATATATGGGTTTTGGGCTATTCCCACAGAGTCGGTGCTCTCAGCCTGCTCTTCAAGAGCTTTGTCACGGTGTTGCCTTTGGTGCTAATGGCTTATTTGGAGCTGTGTCGTTCTGTTTTGCACTGCAACTTTACCCTCGTAGTCGTCTAGGAGCAGCCCTCTAGCAAGGGGTCTCGGCCTGTTTGGCGATCCACTAAATATAAGACTCCATAGCATACAGTCAACCTGTTTGACAGATTGCTATTATTTTTCCTGGCCAGATGCAATCACAAGAGATGGATGGGAGATATGTTGTGGAGGAAAAAACTGCTTCTTCTAATAGAAATTACAGTCAGGTTCTGGCTGCAGGAAAGGAGCTCACTAGAATTCCCTAGGGACAGGCCTGGCACGGAGGACCTGCACAGACGCAAGAGGAGAAAGGATTTGGCTAGCAGCATCTTTATTACTGGTACTGATGTATGAGCCAGACTGGATTTCCCAATCCAAGACAGGCAGGCAGGGCTGGCAATGAGCACAGCCCATCTTTTTCCTTCATCAGACACAATAAATACAGAGCTCCCTACTGCCAGCTTGGAAAGGAGCAGTTTTCAGTGGATTTACTGCACTTCAAACTTAGAGACCCAGTGCTTTTAGATTTAATGGACCGAGTAAGTCAGCTCCTTCTCTGGCTTTACATCCGGATTAACAGAACTATCCCACAACCTGGCTTTGCTTATGCTTTCTTGGGTTTCCTGGAAGGAGGGGCCCTGGGCTGGATTCGGGACCTTATTTAAATATAAGGTTTCGGGGAAGAGCTGCTGGCACATGTGGCCCTGACAAGGGCTGATGCTCCAGTCTCTCCCTGGCAGCAGCACAGGCGCTGCTGGAAGGAAGCAGCACATGCCTGCAGCAGGGCAGGAACGGGAACATGCAGGTCTCCGAGCGAAAACGCCTGCGTGGCTCCCAAGTTTCAGCCTGCTGCCCTCGGGCAGGGTGTGGAGCAGAGCTGTAGCTCTCCATCAGCAGCATTGGACGCACGGTTCAGGCAGGCAGAAGAAAGGGTTGTGAAACCTTGGGAACGCTGCAGCAGATGCTAGGCTGAGAATGGAAACTGGTGAACAACCAGTGGCAGCAGTGAAGGAAAGCCCATCCCACCCCTGCATGCGCCCTTCTGCAGGGCTGCATGGTCCTTTGCCCAGGATCAGGGCAAATCATGTTCTTCGCTAATTCTTCATGGCTATCGTTCCTCCCCTCGCTTTGGAGGGTAGCCCTCTCCAGGTTGGATTCAGATCTGCTGGCTTGTGCTGCTTACTCCTACTGGAGAGAGGGGCTGCCCTTGAGAGAAAGGTCTTGGAGATGGGGCTGTGTTTCAGGGGAAAGGACCTGGCTCCCTCTTCCTAGGCTTTTGTGGAGAGGTTGGTGTATCCTCTCCCTATGAGTGTTTCACATCCCCTCCTACAGCTTTTCAGTAAATTCACTCAGTGTAAGGCCTTGCAGTCCCCAGCCTCCTTCGCTAGCTGTGAGTGTCCCAGCATCCTCTGCTTGAGCAACCGGAGGAGCAGCTCTCCTCCATCTCAGAAACTAGGGCTCTGGGAGCTGGACCCTTGGGATGGCACCTGGTTGTACGCGAGTCTAGGGAGGGGGAGCCAGCCTTAAAGGATCTCCTGGAAATTTTTTCCACCTGGGGATGCATGGAGCAGCATTTATGCCACCTGTGCTGTGGTCAACATACCTGGCGCGATGAGTGCGGAGAAGCAAAGGGTAGATGGGCCCACGTGCTTGTGCAAACCACAAGATTTGGGCAACCAAGAGTACATGAAACAAGTGCTGACAGCATGTGTCAGGCCCCAGCATAACCCTGTGCAGACTGGTCAGGCCAGAGAACTTCCTTAAAATAGAATTAACAATGCAAACAGTGACAGAAGTTCAGATGCCACTGTAATTTCTAGTGCTCGCATTAAAAAAAAAAAAAGTCTAATGGATGCTGCCTTCTCACTGAAATGTTCAGGGAGCCACAGTATTTGAAGATACTTAAAGAGCTTTTTAGCAGCAAAAGGTGTAACGTGTCTGGAAGCCGCAGAGAATTGAGAGAGAAAAGAAAGTGATTTAATAAAGGGCTGTGGACTGGAGGAACTCTGGGTTTAATGAGTAAAGTCTCCCATCGGTTGAACAGGGGCTTGAATCAGGCTCAAAAGAAGGACAATTGAAAATCTCTCCTTGAGAGAGAGTTATTTGGCTCTGCCAGACTTATAGCACCAAGCTCCACTGATTCAAGAGGCTGTGTCTGATCGTTGTGCAGGAGAAAGCAGGCTGGAAATGACCTGTCATTCCCTTTCCTGGCAGATCAGCTGCTGCTTGCTGTCACTCTAACCTAAGGAAGAGAGAATCATTTAGTTGGAGGTAGGTTAGGCTTGTGGGCTAATTTATTCCAGATCACCACAAGCAAGGTGTTTCCTAAAATATGAAAGTACTAGGGTGCAAACACTGATGAGAAACATGCTATCCATATGCAGCTTCTTTGAGAAACCCACAGGACTAGAATATAAAAATAAAAACAATGATAGGGTGATGTGTGTGGCCAAACAACCATCTGAGGCCGTTTTGTAACCGCATTTGCATTTACTGCTGAGTAGAAACTCTAGCTGCTGAGGACAGTAACATGTACACCCTGGTATGCGAGCAGGCTTTAACTCTGACCCAAAGTTTATGGTGGAGCGGGTGACAGAAGGAACAATGAAAATGCGGACAGGTCACAGGCTGCTTCCGTGGGGGCTGATTCAGCCGCAGCAGGGTAGAAGTGCTACCTTGCAGACTTTGGCCTTCTAGGTAGGCAGAGGGGGATCTTGCCTCAGCTGAAATTGTGTTATTTTTTTCCCCCAAACATACCTCAGCTCTGGTGCTTTAAAGCTTTGCAAACTCCCTGACTCCAGGAGCTATTTGCAGGCTGAAAATGTAGCACTACTTAAGAGTTTTGTGTGATCTTGACCCACCTGGGAGAATGGAAACTCTTTTACCAGGCTAGTGTTGCTGTAGAAATTCAGGCAGGGAAAGCTGCTCTGGCCGCTTGGATTCTAGCTCTGTTCTTATAGATCCTGCCTAAGGCTCTTTAATGATCAGAAACAGCCTTGGTTTTTGTGGCCTTTTTTTCTACATCTCTTTATGCAAACATTACTCCTCACGATGTCGGTGGGTCCTAGGCTTCATACTGGCCTCCCTGAACAAGCCATCTCATCTAGTAAGCTCTGTCCATGTCACATCCAAGCGGTAGACCTATCTGATCTTGCCCGAGCTGGGAGGGTCATGACGCTAGAGAGCTTAACATCCTTTTGTTGCCGTTCACGTGGAGCACCGTGGGCTCAGGGATACTCATGGAAAATGGCTTTTGCCTGGAGGCTGTTGACTCTCTGTTAGGGAGCAGAGATGTGCAGAAGGCTGACCGCTAAGTGTACTGTAGCAGAGATATCTCACTTGACTTTAAATGAGCTGGTTTGCCTACCTGAGCCAGTCTAGCCATCTCGGTGTGAAGCTCAGTGTGAGCTGATAGTAAATTCAACCATGTAGCTATTGAGGTTGCCTACTTCCAGGTCCTGAAGCTTGCTTCAGTTTAGCTTGAGGTCTGTGTACAGCATTGCAGTGTAGACATACAGAAGCTGAGACGTTTATTTGGGAATGAGAAGTCTGTTTAATTGGGGCCTGCCCTAATTGCTGGCAAGAGATCCTTAATTGTGTCATTAAACTATAAAGATCATCAATATGCTTTGATCTGACAAATAAAGATGCCTTGTGTTCAGGATGAGTCACGAATCTGAGAGTCAGGAGAAACGAATGGACTACAAGTAAACGATAATAAATGAATAGATTGAAAAGCACAGCATTTTGATGTTGCTAATCAAATTGTCTAGAAGGACTGAAGTGCTATAAGGCTTTGACTGGGTAATCCAAGGCAGAGCTTTTTACTAATATTTTGTTTTCTCTCTTTCTATACACAGACAACGTTTCCTGTGACTCCATCGCTTGCAACAAGCCCCACAATGGCTTTTAGTCCCTACCTGAGTCATGTTTCCCCTGGGATGGGCTTGGTTCCTGCAGAGCTTTTACCAAATACTCCTGTCCTGGTTTCTGGGAATCCTACTGTTACAGTACCAGGAGGCTCTGCTGGACAGAAACTGATCCGTACGGATAAACTAGAGGTATTTGGATATCTGATGTAATACTGCTGAAAGGAATGAACAGGGCATGTGGTCCCAGCTGTTGCACTCTGCTGGAATAACACCTTCTGATTCCGTAGACAGTGCAGAGATTAACTTGTAGCTTTCCTAACCCAGGGCTGCTGCTCTTTGCTTGACCGGATGCTCATGTGGGGGACTCATCCTAAAGCCTTTGAAGTGCCTGGAAGTTTGGGGACGCTCAGGCTTCTGATTTCAGTGGGCGTTACAGCAGGACTGGGAGTGTTGTGTTCTGTGCATAATCCACTTGCTATGCTTAAAAGATGCAAGTGGATGGCCTGCCCTTTCCCTGAGTTGAGTGGGAGACATTCTGGAATAAGAACGAGAGAGTGGAAATAACAAACACTGCCCTTGTCTTGAGATAGGCTTGTCAAGTTTTTACAGAAAGCTTCAAGCATTACATTGTTAAGAAAGCTGGGAGTGGGGCATTGGGGTCTGGGTCACAGAGGGGACGAAGTATAATAACAAATAAGTATCATGATTAGGAAAGTCGTCTTTCCCTCTCCCAAGCTCCCTACTGCAGTTGGCTAGGCGTGCTGGGACTTAGTGTTGAAGGGGTATAGATGTCTTTCAAACCCTAAACAGAGGCTCTGCAGGAAGTAAGAGCTGAGGACCTGAATTCAGAGGTTCCTGCAGGTGTAAATTATAACACAGGAAAGCAGCAGAGAAGGGTATAATTTCACAACGTATTGTTTTATGTTATGTATGCTTTATATCGCCTTGCTTCTCTTTTCACGTGGTGTCTCACCTTTCCCCACACACAGTCTGATAGCGTATTGATATGCGACTTACACCTCCAACTGTAGACCTCAGCAATTTTACTTAATTCCCCAGACAAGAAAACGTTAAGATCCATTTTGTGAAACCTTGTTCTCTGCCTTTGATGCTTCAGAGTTCTTAACTTACAAGGAGTTGCAAGATCTTTGTAAGGCTAGCAATTTTGGGAACAGCTTATGAACACCTTGTTGGCTTTAGTGTACTGTAATCGAGCACGCTGTCAAGTAACTCCTGGGTCAGAGTTTCATCGTGGAAGTCAGGCAGACCATCTACATGAAAGAGGCTCTTCATATTTAAAAACAGCTACCTGTTGCAAATACCGTAGCTTGCAACACTGAGAATTAAATGTTCCACCTGGGAGTGTGCTCCACAGCAAATACATGATCCTACTGAGGCACAAATGGCAGTGTTATTAAAACCTGAGCTTCAGAGACGGAGGAGGAATCCGCAGCCCCAGAGGTTTTGGCAAAACCCCACTAACTTCTTGGGTTCTGGATTCCACCTGGTCCCTTTCCATTCTGAAAAAAATTCTGCTCTTCACTTGCATTTGGTAATTGGCCTTGGTAGCTTTGCTTTTTGCATATCCTGAACCAGTTGTGAGTGGCACTGGTTGCCCATGTGATTGTTGGTGTATGCACTACCTAAGATGAGCAGGGGTTTAGAATATACGTATGGTTTAATGCAGCCAGCTGAACTGATATTCTATGTTGAAAATACTGGATGAAGAGTAATTGGATGTCTGCTCAACAATGTGACTTTCTTTTAAGGTTTGTCGAGAGTTTCAGCGTGGAAATTGCACACGTGGTGAGAACGATTGCCGCTATGCTCACCCTATAGATATTGCAATGATAGACACAAATGAAAATACTGTTACAGTTTGCATGGATTACATCAAAGGTCGATGCTCTAGGGAGAAATGCAAGTACTTTCATCCCCCTGCACACCTGCAAGCCAAAATCAAGGCAGCTCAACACCAGGTGAACCAGACAGCTGCAGCTGCAATGGTAAGGATGCTCTTATCAAACTGTAGTCCCATTGCTAAGAGATTTGATTTGTTTCGTATGTGGAAAAGTAATGCGGTGTATTTTGTAAATGGCTGAGTGAAGAGCTGAGAGCATGTACAGTATGAATCCCATCTTTCCATTCTTTCTGTGTGCTCACCATAGCATGAGGCACTGAGTGATGCAATACCTCTTACCAGTTAGGGACACAGAGGCAAACCCTGTGATTTTCTGACATGAGGTGACATGCATCAGGCATGAATGCAAGTTCAGCAGTACCTAAAACAAATGCCATCCCTGGCTAAGCCCTAGGTGTCATTTTTAGCTTCCTCAGTGCACAAGCAAAACAAATAATGCCCTTCTCGTGACACTCCTTTGTGGGGAGATCCTGGGCCTATTGATGCCAGTGGCAACATTTCCACTGACTTCAAAGTGGACGAGATATCAACTGTTCCAGCCTAGCAAGCTGGGGAGCCTTGTACCTGATACCTTTGCTGAGGCTTAGTGAAATGACAGAAGTCTCAAACCAAGGATGACTTACTGTATCTGTTTGATGCTTAGGAACTGTCAGAGATGATACCAGCTGCATTTTAATTTGAGTTGTGACTTCTTATGCTCCTGTAGCAAGGGCTAAAATTCTGAAAACAAGTCAAAGAAGACTTAGAAGTTTGGATCAAGTTTCCAGCTGGAGTAAATGGTTGCAATTCTGTTGACTGCAGTTTAATGGCTTCTGTTGACTCCAGCTGGGAATATGCTTCCGACAGTGCGTTAGAGAAACTTAATTGCAGAGCTGAAATTGCGCAGAGTGGGGAGAATATTGCCATTGCAAATTTTTCTTGTGCCCTCGCAGCAAAGAAGGCCAACTGCATCCTGGGCTGCGTTAGGCAGAGCATTGCCAGCAGGTGGAGGGAGGTGATCCTTCCCCTCTCCTCAGCCCTGGTGAGGCCACATCTGGAGAGCTGGGTCCAGTACTGGGCTCCCCAGTATGAGAGAGGTGTGGATGAACAGGAGACAGTCCAGTGTAGATGATTAAGAGACTGGAGAATCTGACATACAGAGAGAAGCTGAGAAAGCTGGGGTTGCTCATCCTGGAGAAGAGACGGCTCAGGGAGATCTTATTAACGTATATAAGTACCCGATGGGAGGGTGTAAAGAAGACTGAGCCAGACTCTTGTCAATGGTAGCCAGTGAAAGGATGAGAGGCAATGGAGGCAAATTGAAATACAATAAATTTCATTTAAATATAAGAAAAAACCTATTTTACTGTGAGGGTGTTTGAACACTGGAGCTGGTTGCCCAGAAAGGTTGTGGAGCCTCCACCCTTGGAGATACTCAAAACCCAACTGAATACAGCCCTGAGCAGCCTGCTCTACCTGACCCTGCTTTGAGAAGGAGGCCGGACTAGACAACCCCCAGAAGTGCTTTCCAACCTTGTCCATTCTATGATTCTTTGAATAGCTAATATTAAAAAGATTATTACTTCCTTTTTGATTTAGAAATAAAGCTAGTAAAGTTTTTCTGAATAACTTTTTTTTAAACAGACAGTAAAAGTGGTTATTTTTTATTCGTGGTGAAACATAATGCAAAAATGGAAGATTGTCACCTCCTGGTAACATCAATATTACCTGGAAAGCAACTTGAAGAATCAAATCTACTGCAGTATTTATTTGCCCTGGGCCGTTTATTTGCTAAATTCTTAACTATTTCTTTTTATTGTTGAAACAACAACTGAAATCTATTGAAAAAGATTCATCTGAAATGAAATTCTCATGTTTTTTACAATTGAAGTTTTACTTTTTCACTAATTATCTAGGACACTGTTACTTAACCAAAGCCTCATTACATGTTTTATTCATACTACTGGCTTCTCTTAAAAATGTAATTAACCTTATTTATATGCTGTTAACTAGAGCCTTTAAAATATTTATTGATGGTTTGTTGCATCACCCCACTACCAAAACAACTGACATTATTCATTGAGTTTTCAAAGTCTGATGCATTTACTGTACGTGCTGTGGGAAAGACTCTGAAAAAGGGAAGGATGGTGCCCAGTCGTCTTGCATCAAGAAACAGGTGCCATGCAAATTGGTGTAATAAGCCCTTCTGAAATAGATTTGGAGTGACTTCAGGCCTAAGTTCAGAATATATCTCTGAGGGACCCAGTCCTGCAGTAACTTAACACACGAGTAGTAACTTTACTCTCTCCTGCTTGGCTAAAGTCTGTGCAGCGAAGTCGGGTGAATTTGGTCGGGCTCGGTCCCCAGTTCGAGATCACACTTACGGTGTGCTTGAGCTTCCTGTCTTTGCCAGTGGTTCTTTCCTTGCCATGAGCTCTCCTGGTGGCCTCTGCATGGTGCGTAGCTGCAGAGTTAGGGCTGAAGCTTAGCACAGGTCCCCCTGCAGGTGCTAATCCTTGAGCGTTCCTCACCCGGCGCATGTGTCGCACTGAAGGTGCTCTGGAGCACGTAGCCCGTGATGATATTTCTTTACTCTTAAAAATTCCTGAGGCAAAATAACTGACTAGCCATTAGGCCGGGTAGTTACTCAGACACCCCATGTTGTGCATGCCTCGTCTTTTTAATATATTGTATAATGCATTCATTTATTTTTTTTCTCTTCACCTCCCCGCAATGTCGCTCTCTCTTGACACACCTCTGCTTGCTGTTTTTGTTACTGTGCTTGACTCCCCCCTCCCCGGCCCATTGCCATCATGTGCTCGCTGCCTGCTAATTAAGACTCAGCCAGCTGTCAGATCACTGAAGCGACCGCTCGAGGCAACCTTTGACCTGGTACTTGGACCTTTCACCTTCTCGCTTTGCACGTAACCATCGTAGCTGCATGAACGCCTTCCTCGCTTGTTCTGTTGTGCTAACACCTGGGGAGACTGCCCATCCCGGATAGAAATGTTAGTGGCCGTTCAGACACGCCAGGCTGTGCCCCGCACATTATCCATTAACTGTCTGAGCTCTCCTTCACGAAGCCCAGATGAGTTGTGGAGGACGCGATAAACTTGGGGGCCTTCATCAGGGGAGGCCACTCCGTGTTTTGGGGTGTTTTTTCCTGACAGCAGCAGCTTTGGAATTGTGCAGTGTGTTGCTTCGGTGAGGATTTAACTCGTTAGGTGTTCAACGTGCTAGATGTGCCAGGGGAACTGGGTGGCATAGGATGGATCCTGCTCCTGCCACTGAAGCCTGAGCAGCTTTTCATAATATGCCAAACAGCGTGGCCTTGCCTGGCAGCGTCATGCTCGTACTGCCCTTCAGAAGGATGTTGTGCACATAAGCACAGCCCAAATCTAGGACCTCGCTAATCCTGGCTGCCCCTGATATTGAAGAGAAGCACTGGGAGAGGGTTAAGCAGCAAATGCAGTGATTAGCTCTGGGAACTGAAGCAGTTGCAAGGTAGGACTTTGATCCCAAGGTCTGTAAGCTGGGAGGCTGTAGCCTCTGTGGTCAGCTCTGTCTCTGTTTCCTCCACCAGGCCCACAGTGGGACGGAGATCAGCAAAGGGACCTCCTCTGGGATGCCTTTTGCTTCAGCCACAGGCACAGGACCCGCTCTGCAGGCTTTTGTCTGCAAGCTGTGTTCGTATAAGCGGCCTTTGATTACGTCCTAAGTCCCATGTACATTTACCTGCCTTCACGATGGTCTTAGTAATGCAAAAGCCATCCTCCCAGCCTGCCATCAGTCCTGACTCTGTAGCAGACAATTCCTTCCTGCTCACCCCAAACAGATGAGGGATCAGAGGAACAGATGCTAATAAAACAGCTCATGCCCTCCAGCTGTAGGGGGAAAGGGAAGAGTGACGCATAGGAGCTCCGAAACCTTCGAGCCAATGTTGCTCCCCGTTCCCCAAAACGGGAAGGAAAGGCTGATCGGCTCCCGTGCCCCTCTGTCCAGCCAGCTTTTTTGTAAGAGCAAGACCTTCCCGGCCTTTCTTGGTGCATGTGGCCGTTTCTCAGCTGCTGTCTGAGCAGGCCCCTTCCAGCTCCCAGCCTGCTGGGGCCGGTGCAGTGAATCGTCCCCCAGCCACTGGGGAGGGGAGCGTTTATGCCGGTCAGGGAGCCCTCCAGAATGACATTGTTCAAATGTTCATTTAACCTCTCTTTGGGGCAAATTTGAAAGAAAAGAGGTTATGTGGGGTTTGGCCAGAGGCAAAAACCTCATCAGCAGCTCGGCAAGACTCTTTTTTTTTTGTTGTATTTTTTTCCCAAGCAAGCAGCAGGCTCCCCTATCAGCGCTTTAGACAGCAGCGTTAGGAAATCTTGTTAGGGGCCAGCTTCCGCCAGCAGACGTGGGATTACGTTGTAAATGACATACCAGCCTCTCTCTGGTGCTCGTTGCTGGCACGAGCGCAGCCGCAAAGCCAGCTTAGCCGGTGACCTGTGCAGTGCCTCGCCGCCCTTTCCGAGAGCCACCTCTCTTAAGGGACTCAGACTAGTTGAGAAAGGGAAAGCCTTTTAACTTCCCTCCCCTTCTGACCTCTGCCAAAGAGCAAAACCTGGTCACACGTAGGGTTCTAGCCTGAAAGGTTAAAGTTATTTTTAATAGCCTTCCTGCTCTGGAAATCTGAGTATTTGCAGCCACGTTTTTGGACTGTATTGCTTCCTTGTCCCGTTGCTTACCAGGGAACGGGTGCTACCTCAGCCCTCTCTAAAATGACTCGGTATTTCTTGTGACTTGGACTGAAGTAGCAAGTCAGATACGGACCCAACCCCCCTTCGTTAGGTGCTGCGTAAGCACAGAGTGAGAGTGTGATCTGCTCCCAGGAGATAGTAATCTAAATGGAATTCTGAGGAGCAATTAAACTGTTTGCTGCAAGATTTAATCCAGTTCCTGTCTTGCAAAAAATAACAAGAGGGGGGTTAACCAGCACATGGGAAATTTTGACTTAGGCATGCATTGCATTTTTATCTGTCATTCATGGTGAAAGATTTCTTTCCATGCCAGGCAGAGAAATGGCACCAGTCTCTTTGTTCAGATGCTTTTATTCTAGCAGGAATGTGGCTTTCCCAGCCCCAAAATGAGAGGCTGCCTGATATTTTTGGAATGGAAATTGTTCACTGGGATCAGTGTGGACTATTGCATGGATACTGAACAGCAAAAAAATTACCCTTTCACCAAGGCAACTGGTCTGTTTACATTGCATAGCTTGTGTACACATGCACCTACACAAACACATGGACAAAAAGGAAAGTTAGAAAAAGTTACTGTCCAACAGTGCTACATCTGTGACGATCAAAGCTTGTCCATAGGGAAATCATAAGCAGCAGGATGAGGTAAACTGACCAAGTAAACTCTTTGCTGCAAGGATTTAGTCTGGTCCGTGTCCTGCAGCAGGAAGGTGCTGGCTGCAGAATTCAGCAAGGTTGAAATGTGATGAGGAGTCTCCTGTTGCCTTTTATAGGTCCTGCGGGACGTACTCAGGGTATTCTTTTTAAACCAGGACATGGTGCGAGAGAGAAGTGTTGCAGGAGCAACAGCCCTACAAGCTGTTATAATTTCTGCAGGTCCAGAGACTGTTACACAAATGCTGTCCCATTTCAAATGAGACCTATGACATTGTTTGCTCCAGCGTGCCTGCCAGATTCCTTTGTAGGCAGCTGTATTGGCTCAACATCATCTCGTGATATTTTAGACACCTGTCCAAGGCCTTTGTCGATAGATCATCCAGTGAGTAGGCTCCTGATTTGGGGCCCTTACCTCAATGCAAGGGCTGAAGCAGTAGCGAATCCAGACTTTTCTGTCTCTTGGACCCTCCTGCACCTTGCAATTTGGCAAGAATTTGTCTTTGCCTCCAGTCTGTGTTACTTTGTGCTGTGCTTCGTTCCCCAAGGGCTGCCACCTTTCATTTGGGAGCCCAGAGCAAATCCTAAGCCTATGCCCAAGTGCTCGGGCTCCGGGGGAATATGGGCGCTGTGTTGCTGACCTGGGGAATCTGCCGTACGGCCTGGCAAATTGCAGAGCCATCACTTGCCCTCCCCAGGACAATTGCAGTGCTGTGCAACCCAAAAATTAGATACAGTGGTTGGTAGCGAGAGGAGCACATCTGCAGAGCATGCTCCCATATGGATGCTCGCCCAACTGCTGGGGTGGGAGCAGATGACCCAGAAGGCCAGGTCAGACCAGAAGCTGTCCAAGAGGGGTACCTGACTCCTATGCTCACAGCGCTAAGGCTACAGAGCAGGCCTTCAAGCTAAACACCAGCTGTTTCAGTGTGCTGCTTTCTTTTGAAGACTGTGGCAATATTCTTTGGGCTTCTCCACCGTCAGCTGCCGTTCAGCCGTTTCCCAAGGATGCTGTTCAGGGGACAGTAACAAGACTGCCATAGCTCCCGCTTCTCCCTCGCTCCCAAGGGGCTGGAGCAGGGCAAGAGAAAAGGTGATGTTAGAGGGATTGTGGGGTAGACAGGCCCTTGTGCCTTGACATCCCTATGGCCTGTGGGTGTTTGTGTGCTCCCTCTGACTGCCGCATTGGGCTCAGAAATTGTCCCACATGTAAAGCGCCAGGACATCGCAGCCTCCAAGCCTTCAGCTGTTCTCCTGCTTTTGGCACTGCAGTTATGGGATAATGGGTTTTTAGGGGTGGTGACAGCCTTTGGCTAACAGGCAAGGAGTCAAAAGTCCGTTACATGCCTGGTGTATTTGCTTTGCTCTTAGTAATTTTTTTTCTGAGGCAGATTTTGAAAGTGAAAAAAAATATTTTGCAGTCAGGCACAGTAAGGAGAATGAATTTAAGTGGCAAGTTCTTCAGCTATTGTAAATCTATAAAGCACCTCTGAAGTAAGTGGATCTACTCCAGTCTTCGCGAGCTGCAAGTCTGTTCTGTGCCTGGAAGAACATTCCTGTGGTCATCATTAGTAGACAAGGTATAGATACAGTTGGGTTTAACATAGGCATCAGCGAGGGCTCCCCAAGAAATAAAAACACATAGCTCTCTACCTAAAAGACCTCATCTTAAAATATGGATCTTAAGCAAAAGATTTTGGTGTCTGTTTCTCAGAAAGCTAGCCGCTGTTTGACTGCTGTCTCCGATGCTAGCCAGAAGAAATCTAGAAAGGTATTGTTAAGGCCTAAGTCTGGTATTGGACGTCTGCTAGCATCAGCAGAGGACGCGTGCATGTCAGGGCAGTTTTGCAAATGCGATTTCTTCTTCTAATTTTCTTTTTGAATATTAAAACCACCTAAAAGCCACCGTATGAACAGAGATCGGATGGAGTAATGTTTTGCCTGGAAGTATCCTCCTTAACATTTCTCAGATGAGCAGTCTCCTATAGCAAATTAAATTTAAGCGTAACCTGTTTCTAGATGGTGACAACTGTTGTAAGCTTTCGGTTATGCTCTGTTGTGTGTTTCTCTTCACGACGTTTTAAAATCTCTTTCCATATATTCTTTCTTAAAATGACTGTGTGTTTGTAGCCTTAACCCTTCACTAGCCAAGCTTCCTTTGTTACCCACCCTTCGCTATCATTCATTCAAAAAGAATAGGATAACCCTATTTTTCAGCCATTGCTTTGCTACATGATATGGAACACAACTAGGCAAAAATGACCTGATTCTGCATGACTTCCATGTGCGTAAATCTCACTGACGTCAATGGGAGTGTTACGTGCAAAAGGACCGCAGGGCGTAATTAGAAAGGACCCTTTTCTATCACAATGTGGAAAAAATGTGGTTTCTGCTTGGGTACAATGAAAAGCTGTAAATCGTTAGAAACATTCTTGTCTCCTAAGAACCTGACATACTGCTTTGTTGTTGAGACATGCTTTATGAACGATGAGTAACTCACTGAGAAAAGTTCCTGAGTTGGGTTAATGCTTTTTACCAAGTCTGATCATGAAACAGGTTTGACTGGCTAGAAGAAGCACTGTGGTGTGATGGAACAAAATGAGAGGATTTGCTGGCTAGCAAGGCCCACCCAAATCTTGTTCGAACACCAGATATGGCAATGGCTTTTTCCACTGCTAATAATGAGCAAACAGTATTTTGCTGTTGGAGGCCTTCTTCTAGTGCTGCACTACTAGAAACCGGGAGCAAGTCCAAATCTACTGTTCTTGAGCTGTGCAGCTGTTGCAAGCAGTGGAGAGTCTGGCCTATTCTTGACTATGTCGCTCAGCCTCTCTAATAACAAGTAGAAACGCATTTTACTATGAATGTAACATTATGCGTGTAATTGGCAACAGCTACTACTTTACCACCCAGATGCATAGGTCACCTGCATACAAATGTGCACGCTTCCACACAAGCGCACAAACACGTAGGCAGGTACTGAAACAAGCAGAGGCAAGCATCCCTTGTTTTTCCATGGCATTTGTTGCTTACGCTAGTCGTCTTGTTAAATAATTTTCTGCTATGTTCCTCTTAGCTGGCATTTTTTTTAAATGCTTGTTGACTACAACTGCTTTTTGTGGTATCCTGCCCAGAAGATTTTCTCCCCTTCCTCCCTCTCCTTGTTTTCCTGTGTGCCCAAGTCAGTCCTACTGAAAAGCTCCCTTAGTGTTCCTCCTCATTCTAGACTCTGACCCCTTCTCCTGATGCATATACTAACTGCTTACCTAGTGAGGTTGTGTTTCCACCTACCACTTCTTCTGTGATTTAGCTGCTCTTCTCTTTCCTGTCTTGCTAAGTTGACCCGGTTGCAGGTGATGTACATCTAAGACCCCTATTATTTATTGCATGCTTTATCTACATTTGGGTTCCTTTTTTTTAATTCCACTTGTCTTTAATGATTCCCTTATCCACAGGCCCTGCCGCCTGGTGCACTTCAACCTTTACCAAAGAGGCCAGCACTTGAAAAAAACAATGGTGCCACCACAGTCTTTAACCCAAGCGTTTTCCACTACCAACAGGCTCTAGCCAACATGCAGTTGCAACAGCCTACATTTATCCCTACAGGTAAGCGTGTCCTTGCTTTTCTCATCACATCATTGTTTTCTTTTTATGACCTAGAGATTGAGCTAATGAACAGTTGTGTAGGAGTGCTTAGCAGAAGATTATTAGTGTGTGTAGTTTCATTTTAAAAATCCATGGAAAGTTAATGTTTGTTGTTTGATGTTTTTCCTTCACCTACTACAATCCAGAGCTTTTGACTTGTAAGGATCCCTTCTTAGCCTTTTTTATTTTGTTTTTTTAAACAGTCAAACTAAGAAAAATGTCTGCATGTCTCTGGAATTCATACTTCCTGTTTCTTCTCCTTATGGTTCAACTGGTTAATTCCAAATTAATTCTTTGACTCTTGTGTAGCACTGTCATGGACTCATGTTAAAATGTTTGGTGGCTCTCAATGCAAAACAGCCTGCCCACTTTTAGACTGCAGGTATCTTTCTAACCTTCTCTCTGTGACCTACATACTCTAGTAGCCATGATGTTTATAGAGGGCATGGGTCATCTTTAGTAAATATGAATTACATAAAGACATGCATTTCCCTCTCGCCTGTCTTTTGACTGGTACAATAGCCTAAGCTTTTTAAAAGCAATTTAACTCCCCAGCTTTTATTGTACCTTTAAGGTCTCAGAGTAAAATTGAAAGATGCAGTTCAGTAATTAATATAGAAATCAAAACATTGACCTAGCAGATGTGACTGCTGAGTAGCCAATTAACCTGTATTCACTGCAGCCAAATAAAAAACAAAAGCTGCTTAGAGTAGTAAGCATTACAAATGGCTCAGTTAAGAACATTTCAGCACTGGTAGCTCATTTTTAGTATCATTGTTTTCGTTGCAGAGCATCATATGAAAATGAATGCCTGCCTTTTGTAATGTTCAGTGCTGCATTCATTTGCCAAATAATATTTACAAAAATAAACAATGTAATTCCCCAAACTGGCCCCTCGAGGTAAACACGCAGCAGACTCGTGCCTCAGTCTTGCCCTTCCTTGGAGCGAGGGGAGACTTTTAAGAAAGAGCCTGATACTGAGACCAAACTGTGTCTTGGGGTGAGTGTGGGTCCAGAGAGCTGAGACTTAAGCGCTGTACTCATTTGGCCCGTATGTCATGAACGTATTTGGAAATGCTAAGGATTCAGCAGTTGCCAGGGTGCGTTCTTCTAGGGAAGTGGTGTCGTGTATGCAGAGATGGAGGACTCCTGCCTCAGGCTTTACAAAGCGCTCTAAGAGGGGATAGGCTGAGCTGGCCTTACAGTAACTCGTTGAGATGCCAGCAAAATATTTCTTCCCATGGGATGACTTTTTCTTTTTTATCTGATTCCCTGATATCAGGAAGAGTTGAGGACTTCTAGAACGCCAAGTTGCTAAGCTGACAATACGCTCCAGTTCCTTGAGGTCACAGTCTCCAAACTTGACAGTAAAGATGCATATTTCTGATGCAAGCACCATAAACTAATTTTTACCCAGAGCTCACAATCCTATCTCCTGATCCCATTAACGACAGTGGAATTTTGCACGGGCCTGATGCAGAACAGGTCTGTTTGCTGGCACCTGCTCTCGTCTGAGGACATCAACTCTGGTCGGAGCAAACTGTCAGTCAGAGAACTGACCTACAGACGAATCTACCTTATGCTTCCAGATCTTCTCTTCCTCTGGCGTCAGACCTCAAATTTGGTCTCGGCCTTTGAAGTTCCCTTGAAAGCTAAGGAGAGACGTGGCAGGTAGCAGATCGCGTCATAGGGAGAGAGAGAGAGTTCCTGCTTTTCTTAGTTTCTCCTGCTCAATAGTCAAGAGATCGGTGTCATGGTTTACCACTGGGGGAAAGTCAATTTACACAGCATCATCACTAGAACTGTTTCAAGTCCAGAAAAAACTGCTTCTTTCAGCTTAAACTAGAGACTTTGAATCACAGCACCTGCTTGCAGGAGTAAATTGTTTTTGGAAAGTCTGTTTTAACATGAGTGAGCTGTTCCTCCAAAGATAACTTGATGTCTGCTGACATGATCAGAAAGAAATTAGCACATCTGGTACCAAAAAAAAAAAACCCCAAAATACTGTTCTGTAGGCTAGATCACATCTTTTAATACTGGGGTTGGAGAAGAAATAAATTCTCTACCCAAGAATTCAAGAATTAATTTGGTTTGCAACGGTCTCTTAAAACTGAGTTTAAACTGTTTATGTATCAATATGCAGAATCTGTTTTGCATGTGCTTAAATACTGAATGCTGCAAAGAGAATACCTGCTTTTTAGTTAAAGTGATTTCTAACACTGAAGCTTCACTAATGAAATATCCCTTTTGTTCATCTTTCCACGCTTCAATGCATGGTGTGCAGGGTCAGTTCTGTGCATGACACCCACTGCAAGCGTTGGTAGGTTTTTCTACACAAACTTCTCAACTTTTCCTAATCTGAAAGAGACAGCAAGTTAGTATGCATCAGTGAGAACTTGGGTGGCTGAGTGGTGTGACTGTCTATTCGCTGTCTTCTTTGAGGCTTAAATGGTTGTATCCCTTTTAATTTCTGTGCAGTGCAGTGTTTCATGTGACTAATAAGAGAATCCAAGGTGAAACATTCCCACCCCTCTTCAGTTCTGCTGCAGAGACAAAAATTTGTCACTTGAATATCTTTACAACCTATTTAAGTCATCCAACCAAAGGAACTAGCCATGGAAGGGTCCTGTTGGTTTATCTTTTACATTGGGCATCAGGTGTGCTAGAGTTTGGATTTTTCGTTGTCCTTCTGAGGATATTTTAAGAGAGTGGTTTCATAAAGGCTCTGAGAAGTAATGCATCTAGGGTCAGCCCCTTTGCCAGAATTAGGGTTCTGTTTGTACAGCAGGAGAAGCAGAGCTTAAACTGGACCAGTTCTGATTTGTCTCTTGAGGTGTCAGTGAGGTGCTGCCTGTGCAGGTGTAAGGAACTGTAAGGAGATGACAGTGTTTGTGCACCTGGGATCCAGCGAGGCAGAAGGACTGAGGACAAGCTCTTGGCTGCTGCGGGAAGCCGATAGGCTCAAGCTCAGAATCTGGTTCTTACAGGGAACCAGTGCAGCTCTCTGACCCTCCCTTCCGTCCTCTCTGGAGCTGCTGGGCACAGCAGCGTGGGTGAACGCTGAGCTTTCGTCCTCCAACTGAGACTGTGCAAGGCTGCAAGCATCCCAGTACACGCCTGCTCCAGCTGGAGCGAGGACGATGGGAGCAGTGGCCCCGGGAAGGGTGCAGGGCTTCCACAGAGCAGTTTGGGAGCAACCTGAAAGTTCGTAGCTTTGGCAGAAAGGGCTAAGCACTCTGCCGTCAAACTTCCCAGTCCCTGCAGACTGATTTTCCCACCCGAGAGTGATCCACTACAGCAGTAACTATGCAGTGTTACCCTGTTGTTGAACACCGTGATCGTTCCTGCAGACTCCAGCTCTGAGCGTGACCAGGCAGCCAGGTCTGGTGGACTCTGCTGCTTCGGGAGGGTCCCACGGCTGTGCTGAGACTGGCCCGAGCGGGAACGTGTGCAGACAGACTGTGGCCGTGAACTTCTCTCCTCTGGGCCTTGCGCTGTTTTCTCTGGGATGTGCCGGGTGACTCTGGCGTAAGGGGGCCTGCAGCTGCCCCCATGGAGGGCCAGGTGCGGCTGGGGGGGGGGCCGGTTTCCGCTCTGTCCCTTGGAGAAGGACCCTAAGGACCGTCTGCCACCCCACTCCCAGCTCCTCCTGGCCAGGAGAAACTGGTGGCTGCAAGTGGAGGAGCGATCCAGGGCAGCGCGCCTCCCTGAGACCTCCCAGTGCTGAGGACAGCTGTCCGTGGTCCCCAGCGTAGTTTGGATAAAGAGCCAACGCGGAGAACAAATCCCAAATCCCGGCTCTGGAGAGGAGCTGGCTGTACCTGAAGAAAAGGCCCGTGGGCGACCAGAAGCCCCCAGTGCAGGTGGTAGCGTGAGGACAAGAGGGGACCCAGTTTGCACTAAGGGGAGCTGAGGCCCCCAAGCAATCTCCTCTCGTAGGAGACCACAAGAAGCCCTCTGGGAGGCAGCCGG